GGAATCCCAGTATTTTAAATTTTTCATATATTTAACTATAAAGGCTACATTCTTCATGTATGATTTATTTCCTTGGTGTAGTGGATTATGTGCCCCCAAAAGTCACTGAAGCTTGAAGTGTGTCCCCCAGGTTTATGTATTAGAAACTTGGTGCCCATTGTTACTGTTAAGAGGGTGGGGAATTCTATTATGGTAATTGAAAGGCGGAGGCTTGAAGAGGTGATTACATTGTAGGACCATGCAGTAGTGAATGGATTAAAAATGGTGGTCAGGGGCGTGGTTCTGAGGGCGTTAAGAAGAGAGGAGAGCCTGTCTCTCTCTCTGCTCCACCATTTCACAACGTGATACCCTGCATCACTGTCACCACCACCAAGACCCTCACCAGATGTGTTCCCTGGACTTTGGACTTCCCAGCCTCCGAAACTGTAAGCAACAAATTTTTTCTTCTTTATGCAATACCCAGTTCCATGTATTTTGTTATAAGCAACAGAAATGGACTAATACATTTGGCATAGAAATAACATTTCCATGTGCTAATATCTACCTAATAAAAGAGCCAAGAGAAATACTGTGCATTTTTATGGGCTTTGTAGTCAAAAAAGTTGACTGGCTTTGCTAAAAGTGCATGAAATTGACATATTGCCATCTATTTTCAAATGTATCCAGGAAATTATTCATTACTTATTATAATGAAACACAGATGACCTCAACTTTCCCATCAGGTAATTCTTAGTACTCCAAGCATAATAAAATAATCTGGCTTTGCTAAAGAAAGAATAAATTGTTTTTATCTTCTTGTAATTCAAAAACAGAGTTAGGCTCAAATAAAACAAAACAAAATGTAAACCCCACAGAAATTATGTGCATTTGACAGGAAACTGTCAGGACCTCATTCATCCCCAAGCTATCAACTGATACCTTCCTCACAATGACTCAAACTCTTCCTCCAGCCTCAACTATTTCCTGAACTCCAGAATATATTTTTAACCACCTACAAAACATTTTAGCCTATTTCCAACCCAGCTTATTACCATCTTTAACAAGCTTGTTTCTATATTCCTTACCTCTGTTATTAACAGCATCACTGACAGGACACAGTTGCCCAAGATAAAAAAAAAAACAGTGATTCTCAATAGAACACCCCCCCAAACATACATTAAGTTGTCCCTCGGTATCCATGGGAGATTGGTTCCAGGACTCTCCTCAGATACCAAAATCCACGGATGCTCAAGTCCACTGTAAATGGCACAGTATTTGCACATATGTGCATGCTCCCATATACTTTAAATCATCTCTAAATTACCTATTACAATGTAAATGCTACATATCCAATGCTACAAAACCAAATAACAAAAAAGATACAGTATAACAATTATTTGTTATACTGTATTTTTTGTTATTTGCTTTTTTGGCAGCTGAGCAGTATGGGGATCCAAACCCTTGACCTTGGTGTTACACCACCACACTCTAACCAACTGAGCTTACTGGCTAGTCCTTTATTGTTTTTTTATTTATATTATTTTTCATTGTTGTATTGTCCTTTTTTATCATTTTTTTTCCCTGAATATTTTCAATTCATGGTTGGTTGAATACATAGATGTGGAAATCATGAATATTGAGGACCAACTGTATGCAGCCAGCCCTCCTGGCATTCTGGATCTTGTGACTGTCTCAGCCAACTGGTGGAAAGCAGTACTTTTCTTTATTGAGTGAGTCTTACAAGTGGGATTTGGGCTCACTGAGAACACACACAGTGTGCGGGTCTGCTCAGTTGTCTCAGCTTGTCTCTCAAAGGCACAGGGATGTAAGCCTTAAGTGACGGTCAACTTGTTGGAAAGGGCTTTTCTGTGAGGAAAAGAGGGGCACAGGTCTAGGACTGACTTTAAGGCCATCCCAGATGCTACCTAAATAAACTCTAATCACTTTTGAATTATGGTTCTCTAGAACTGAAGGAAAAGAAACTAATGTATTAAATAGATTTTTAAATTTTGCTATATCAACTTATAAACTGTTGTTAAGTTAGAACTAAACATTACAGTCTCATGTTAAGGTAAAAATATAAGTGTATTATTAACTGTATATAACAAGCATAAAAATTTAAATTTTATGCCACATTTTATTAGATGTTACTTGTGTAAAGTAAAAAATATTACCACCTGTTTTAGTTCTTTTAGGCAATTGATGGCCTTCAATGAGATTATAATCTAAGGGTACTTCAACAAGTTTGTGGGGAAATAGAAGTAAAAGACAATATGAATCTTTCTACAAATTTTTTGAAGAACCCTCATATATATTAAAGATATTCAAATATCACATAAATTATCTCAATCATCTTTCCATTAATATAAACTCTCCGTGTTTCTTCTTACCCTGCACTACTTAAGTTCCTGATAGAAGTACCAGCAGTAAACTCTTTTTGTAAATTCTTTTGTACCATAGGTACCTAGTGACTTTTCAAAATATCAAATTCCTTCATATTCCTGAATAAATTTAAACAA